ACAGAAACCTTTAACGAGCAGCTGATTGGTCTTAATTGCTGCCTTTGATTACGGCAATTGTTTTGGTCGACGTTTGAAGCAAATCGGCCACCTGGTCGCAAAGTTATCGTTATGCAAAGTTCGAGGTGAAGATGTGATATTTGAAAATCTTTCGCCAGGATGTCAATTTTACACGAAATGTCATAGAAACCTGTAGAGATGTAGCACGTGAGATTCTCTGTTGAGCGGTGCCGTGTAGAGTGCCTAAATATTTCTACGGTCTCGTTTGCAGCGGCCGACAACAACAACAGCATTTGTATGGGAGTACTTAGGTGGAATTCGACAGTACTATCAAATGACTTGAATTTGTAAGCATGCCGCTTTTATTTTCGGACACGGTTTAAACAGATGCCCCGCTTATATTTTCGGACAGAGGAAGTAATAGTTTGTATTAGAACCAAACTTAACCTACCTATAAATATACTCAGTTTACAATCTACCTTATTTAGGTCACTTCGCTCTCTTTAATTAAAGAGGGGACCTGTGAACTGCCGTTCACTGAGAGTTTGTATACTCTCGGAAGATAACTTCCTTTAGCGCAAGGTGCTGTGTGACCCCGTCACAGCTCGACTTGATTCCTGAAAGTGAACCAGAAACGTTGAGTTTGAGTGGTATTGCAAAGTCTTTGAAAAGTATTGCAAAATTATCCAGTCAACATGATGATAATCAACAACGGCCTGGACAAGTGGAACTAATGGATCCGTTGTCAAAACCGTACACGATCCCACCATTTATTGCGCCGACAACGGTAACTCATGCCCAACACGAGGTAATTCGGCATGTGATCACCGAGGTATCAACGCTTACTCACGGCAATCGCAAGCAATCACTAACAATGCTGCATGGAAGCGGTCGAACCGGAAAATCGTTTGTCATTAAACGAATTCAAGCTGAATTAGAACTACGCGGTATGAAGGTAATTAATACCTGTCCAACTGGCGCAGGTGCTACTTTGCTACCCGGAGGACAAACAATTCACGCAGCCTTTAAGTTTAGCAGCAGAGGAGAGCAGACGATGAATTCGACAAAACGGCAAAAACTCAAGCTTCAATTCGATGCGAGCGTAGGTTTAGAGGTCATTGATGAAGTATCAATGGTCACTACCGAACTATTTGCTCAAATCGACGAAAGACTACGAGAACTTTATGATCCCTCCAAAATCTTCGGCGGCATGTCAATTTTGCTGGTAAGCGATATACTATGCACACATCCAATGTTAAATGAACTAACCTCTATTTTGCAGGTAGGTGACTTCCTTCAACTTGTTCCAGTGAAAGGAACATCCCTGTGCAAGAACTTATATGTTACAAGACAGAATGATTCCAGTATCAAAGCTCGTGACCTCTTTCGCAGATTCAAAGTTTTTTTCTCCGCGATCAGCTACGAGCAAGTGAATGTATCAACCAACAGCGCAATCTTGCTGCTTTTCAAACTTTGCCAGCCCAATATCCACAAGGTGCCAAATGGAATAACGAAAATGGGCACCGATATTTTCCAGTCACTGTAAAAGCGCTCACTTCATTGGAAAAACCTCTAACCAGAAATGATGTCGGAAATGACCCTTCATGGCTGTACGATCTGAGAATTCTAGTCACGGGAAATATTGACAAAGCAGCTCTCATTCAGTCCACCACTCAACTATTTGGTCATCTACACAACACAATTATCATCAGATGGCGACGAAAAATAAAAGAAGTCGTTGATGCTGCTGTTGAGACAGCTCTCTGTGACGAAGATGTACATCCTTACCTATTTTCATATTTTGCAAAGAATGCTCCTGCCCAAATTCTGGATAATTCTGCTGGAAATCTCGAGTGGGGAATTGCTAATGGAACTGAGTGTCTTATGCACTCGCTTGGATGGGATGATTACTTCAAAGCTCGTACTGCTAACGAATTGATCAACAATGCGATGAAAAACAATGAAAAAATTGTCGATCTCCCGTATCCACCTGACTTTATCAATATACTACTCACAGATTCCGACAACAATCCAATCTCAGGGGAAGATTGGCCGCCCGAACTGAATTTGGAGACGAAATGGATAAATAACAGTGATGGAACCAAGTATAAACCTAAAATCGTCATCCCAATCGGCATTATGACATCAAATGCAAGTGATAACAAAGTGAAGTACTCACACATTTCAACCGAAATCAATTCAAAGCCTTTACATTACCTGCAGCATGGCGTGGACTTGTCATTTGCTCGAACAGTATGGAGAGCACAAGGATCGACTCTTAAGCGTGTTATTTTGCTACTCCAAGGTTCACCGATATCACCATCTTGGGCATTTGAGCATTTGTACGTTGCCATGTCCCGCGTCAAACCCGTTCAGGGTCTCCGATGTCTTCCTCTCACACCATCATTTTCTCGAGAGCACTTCTTGAAGTTACGACCCAGTATTTTCACGGTTAAATGGTGCATGAGCATTGACGACACTGGATACTGGCGATCACTTGAAAATGTAGTTTAAACGCTAATTAAAACGCATAATCCATGGCCTCCCAGCCCAAGCCAGTAGGCCTCTTGTAAATGGAGCGGCAACACAACAACAAAACACGAGAGGTGTTAATTATAGTTGGCTAAGTAGACACCATAAAGAAACGTTAATATAATTGGAGCCTAAATGACGTTTAACCATCCTGAAATTATCGTTAAGCTATCAAATTGAAAGCACTACTGTACCGTCAACAACAACAACAGCAAGGCGTCTTGCGACACATTATCCAAATGCTTTAATCATAACTGGTAGTCTATTGACTAATTCTGAATTAGCACAAAATGAACGCTGCATGCATAAAAAATATTACAATTTGAATATTTTCTAGCTTTCATTAAGTTTTGTGTGTGAAGCAAGCTCAAATAGGCAGTACAAGCGGATAAGTAGTGCAAGCTGGACAGACCATTACTATCACGTGAGCTAAGTTTCATAGCGGCTCAGAAATGGTCCGTGATATCGAGCACGACGCTAAACTAAACATATTATGTAGCGTTTGTATAATGTTATTTGAAGTGCAGGTGGAAGATGAAGATACAGTGATAGCCAGCAATAAAAAAGAGACTGCATCAAGAATCCTGATTCAAGATCATTAGAATATTTTTTTTATATTCGGTAAGACCCAAATTAATGACATTAAAAAGAATCGATTTAGATACACATAAAAAAACGCTGAGCATATTATGCTCAGCGTTTTTTTCAATAGTAATCACGCCGAAGCGTAGCGGAGGCGGGAAGGCCAAAGCAAGTACACCATTTCCCGGCCAAGTTACCAGTTTTACCAACCATCGTGCAAATGGCCCGTTCTTGTGAGATCTAATTTAAGGCTGTGTGGAGACACACCATTTTTAATTATAAGCTACGGCATTTGGCGATTTGCAAGAAAAAGACACTTTCCCACGACTTGCATTTCTGCCCATCATACTTTTCAAGCAGGTTGCAAACCTGGTCAAGTACATAGAGCCTACGTTACCGCATCAAAGGGCACGGCTCATGCTGCTTCAAGAAATGAAGCCCTCCAAAACATTTTTTATTCTAGGACAGCTTAAATGATGCTAATACGGTACTGTGAATGCAGTAGTCGCTGTTTGGCTTTGTTTGTGCTTTTTTTTTCTTCTCTGAATAAGGGAAGCGTCGGCGCTCGGCTAGTTTATTAACAGTATTAATATCCGTCAGTGTTTAAAATTTGAATGTAATAAAAGCAGTTATAATAAGGTATTTGGATATAATAATATTAGGGGTTGTCAATGTCCCTTGCTTTAAAAGTTAGTTTAAGCTTCTAAAAAAATTAGAAGCTTTAAACTTTCTTAAAAAGTTTCCCTGTCAGACAGTTGGAATTTTTACTATGGACAACAACGACGGGTTTGTGGAGACGAAGGCTGAAATGACATCCCCCAGTGGCGGCGCAGCCTTCGGGCTAACAGAAGAGTTCCCTCCTGATCTGCCCATGCAATATTCATATGAAATGTCGAAATTTTACGTGCGCAAGTGCTACCAACGATACTACGATTTGGTTCTACAGGAGCTGTTCACGCGCGACAAGCGCACGCAGTGCGTTTGCGTCACTGTCACTGGGTCGCCAGGTAAGATTGTAAGGTCGTTTCGTGCGAGTATGGGGGCCCAAAGACTAACCTCGGATCTTGGAATGCACAGGAACGGGAAAATCTGTTTTCTACGGATATTTTTTCAATCACTTCACACGTGAAGAGCAGTACAGAGGTTTCACCATTATCACAGCGTCCTTCACGAAGTACTCCGATCTACAAGATATCGCTGTGTTTGAAAACGGTAAGTCGGTTCCAAAACCAGAGTCACTTTCAAATTCATTTTGGCTGGAGAATCTGTCAGAACGAAAAGAACCACGAATCATTTACCTGTATGATGGCCCTCCGCGCATATCTCCAAAACATCAAAAGATGGTGTGCTTCACGAGTCCGAATGAACGATGGCTCGACTCACTTTATAAGGATTTCTCTCAGACGACGTTGTACATGCCGTTGTGGGACGAAGACGAACTTTTTGCTGCTGCCACATCTCTCCGGATCGACTCGGTGATAACTCGAGCTGTGATTGACAAGCGAATTGGATTGTTTGGGTTTGTGGCCCGCGAGTGTCTCTCTCAGCGTGAAAGGTTTGTGGAGGATCGGCTGATATTGGTTCAGCAGACTATTGAGGAGATGAGCACACTCGAACCTCAGCGGTTGGTAAGAATAGTGACGGGAGTCGATACACACCACTGTTTGAGCCATTACGTTCCACATCAAGATGACCCACGGAAGTTTGATGTTCGTATGGCTTCCCAGTATGTGAGACGTCGGGTGCTGGAGAAGATCAACGTGGTGGTGAGCTTCGAAGAGTTCGCCAACGGCTATAAACAACTTCGTTGCAACCCGCAAGCGGCTATGGATCGTGGCTTTTCATTTCTATTGAAGACTTACGACTTAGTGAGGCGAGGCGGTAAAATTCACACTATTACTATCGGTGGCAGTGGACATTCCAAAACCTTTCGATGTCAGAAAAGTAAGGAGTTTTTCCTTTTTGATCCGAAGGAACTATCACCGGCTGTACTACAAACAGGACCATTTCACATCTCTGTCGATACCAGCGATGAGTCAATTGATTCCTTTTATTATCCAACGCGAAAGTTCGTGTGGAAGAAGCGCCTTCTTGTGTTTCTAACGAAAGAGGTGTATCTAAATCCAGTTAGCGGACAGGCTTTAGTGACAGTGCTCGAAAAGCTCGAGCTGTTGAAGAAAGCGCTGAAGAATCCAAGGAGTGTTCGGCTAATTCTTGTCGCACTGGAGCTCGATGAAAACAAGTGGAAGTTCAAGAAAAGAATCCAGTGGGACTTACTATTAAATGCCGAGAACGTGGATATCATTCCTGGTGTTGACACGAGCCAGTTGAAGGCGATTAACATGGAGACAGTGAAAGATTTACGAACAGCCATTGATGCACCAAGCGCCCACCAACGGGACTTCTTCAGTGGTGGTGTATTGACTCAGTACTCAGCGATCCTCAAGAGTTTTGATGAGCGCCAGAACGCGATTGAAACAATGCTGACCAAGATTCCCATGTATGTGCTGGAGGTGTAGGATGCACTATCTGTCTGCAGGTTCAGGGAGATTCATGTAGGCACGTGTTACCGTGCGAGTCTCAGTTAATGGAAAATGGGCGCTAAGTTAGTCTTAAACTCGTCATGTAGTACGGAACTCAGTAGGTAGTGAGGAAGTACATGTACTCCGAAATCGCTTTAAGGCTGTCAACTTTCGACCGAAATCTCAGCGATGGACGAAAATCTCCAGACAAACCTGGCAATTTGCCAGGTTTGTCTGGAGATTTTCGCCATTTCACATTTTGGGCCTCGTTTAGGACGCAGTACATGTATTCGACACTCTTTTTTTTTTCATTTAGGATTGTCCAGCTCAGGACTAAGTGACACCTCATTGATGGGGGGGGGGGTCGGCCAACTTTCCTGGATGGGGTGATCCATCAATAGTCAAGCACTAAATATGCTGCCTAGTGATATAGTGTCTCTCCAAAACCTCACAGTGAAGTCGTTGCTAAATATTACATGTACCTGAGAACACCGTCCACCTTTGCATTGAGGAACTCGCTCAAACAAACGAGTCAGATCTGGTGATTGGTCGAGGCCGCGCTTCCTATCCGGCTTTGCTATCATCGTGTTTGAGGACATGTGGCCATCTCAGCTGTTTTATCCGGTACGAGTCCACGCACTTGCAACCCGCAGTCGTCGACCATGGCGCCCGAGACCGTGGCGTCCCCGCCCGAGCGCTTGCCCCGGCTGCATCTGGACGAGCATCTCGAGCCGATCGACGCGTCGTCCACGCTCATTGACGAGACTACCCGCTCGACGGACACGGTGGACAACAGCAAGGAGGGCAATACCAAGACAAAGGCCCAGCCTCCCTCCAAGGACCTACACCTCCAGGATGACGTCAGCGACGCTAAAGTCTCTAGATTTCGACAGTTTTGCAACTGGGTGCAACACCTACGCGATACGTTTGGTACTGGGTTTTTGGTGCTGATCACGGTAGTGTACGTGGTTCAGGGCTTTTCCAGCTTCACGGCGCTAGCTGTCAACTATTTCTTCAAAGACAATTTAGGTCTACAGCCGACACAGTCGCAATTGCTACAGATGATTGTCAAGGTTCCGTGGAGAGTCAAACCAATCTACGGGATCCTGTCGGACAGTTTGCCTTTGTTCGGCTACCACCGAAAGTCCTACATGATGCTGTGCAGTGTCTTGCAAACGGCAGCCACTTTAGTCATGGCAGTACCCGATCTGGTTACAACGCCGGGTCTAGCAGTACTCATGCTCATGCTGCAAAGTCTGTCAGTTGCCGTAATCGACGTGGTGATCGACGCGAGAGTTGTGGAGATCTCGAGACTGGATCCCGAGAATGGCGCGAACGATCTCCAATCTTTGTCGTGGATAGCAACGTCTCTAGGTGGCATGCTCGGCGCTTTTCTATCTGGTCCAGCAACGTCCGAGTTAGGCGTGCGTGGCGTCTTCTTCACTGCTGCGTTGGGTCCGATTACGACGCTGCTCTTCTCGATGTTCATGGAGGAGTCCAAAAGTACATTAAGCAAGAGAGACTTTGTGTCTTCAGCGACAAAGCAGCTTCGACAACTCAAGATCGCTATTTGCACCCCCGTCGTGTGGATGTGCGCGCTGTGGGTGTTTATCTCGCATGCCATCAGTCCCGCATACACGCAGATACTTTTCTTCTTCTCGACAGACGTGCTTCACTTCACACCCGAGTTTTTGGGGACGGTCGCAGCTATTGGGTTTATCTTCCTCATGGCAGGCACAATGCTGTACAACACGTTCTTCACGAACGTATCGTTCCGTAAGATATTCCTGGTGGCGCAGCTGTGTCTCGCTCTCGTGTCTCTCGTTGACGTCGTCCTGGTGACGCGTGCCAACCTGAAAATTGGCATTCCGGACAAGGCCTTTGTGCTGGGCGACCACGTGGTGGCCGATGTCATTGGTCGCCTTAAAACCATGCCGATCATGGTGCTGTGTGCTAAATTATGTCCCAGAGGCATCGAGGGTACACTGTTCGCGCTGCTCATGTCCATTTCCAACCTCTCGTACAGTGTGAGCGAGTTCTGGGGGGCGTTTGTCTGCGACTGGATGGGGATCACCAAGGACAAATACGAGATGCTGTGGCTCGCCATCGTGATACGCAGTGTGCTAAAGGTTGTGCCCATCTTCTTCCTCTTCTTGATCCCATCGACTGACCCCCAAGAAATCATCGACAAACTGGACTTTTGCTCGCCTGCGTGTACCGAACCAGAGGAAGAAGATGAACACTCCGGCACTATTCGAGAAGATCACAGAGTCGACACCTGCTCACCCTCCGAGCAAGTGGTATTGAAAGGCACTTCCGCCGCTGTCGTCTAGGACTGAAGCACATGAAGTAGTAATAAGGGAAGGATATCAAAGCCAACATTATTCATATTTGTGTATTTCAATACATATTATAGATACATGTATCAACACTTCGCTTACACAGAAAAAATAGTATTTTTATGCCTCAGAAAGCTATTAATACTCGTTTATAATCAACTCTACTACGCTACCTCTACGCTATACCGTAGCTACTAAATCAAAAAACGGAGGCCGCTGTGTGTGTGTGCGTGTTCAGCCTACAGGATTCCGAGACAAGCTCGTTGGTACTTGTCATACCAGCGTGTCCTCCAATTGTTAATGGATTGGTCGATCAGCTGGTTCACGAACACTTGGCATGTGCTGGTGCGAGCTCCTGGCTTGAGTCTCGCTCGCAGACCTTCGATCACCGCCTTCTTCCCACCAGCGAAGCAGGGCAAGTCGGCGTTGCCCACCAGCATCATCTCCACAAGCAGCACAATCTGATCCATGTTACGACGCAGGGCCAGATACGCGCGGATGCACAGTGATCGGAAGTACCGGAACGAGGAGCTGCGTGGACCTCCCATTAACTCGACGAACTCGTCCGTGAGTTTGAATGGCGCTCGCTCGAAGTTCCAGTTGCTCCCGGGGCTGTTGGTCAGCAGGAAGCCAAAGTCGATGTGGATTACATGACCGTCTGTGTCCACCAAGATGTTGCCGTTGTGACGATCCTTGATCTGGAACACGTAGCAGACGATCGAGTAGGCTGCTAGACTCTCCACAAAGTTCCGTTGAGCTCGGGTGAAGCCAGTGGTGTCCTTGTCGCCGTGTAGACGAGTGTAGAAGTCCAGGAGAGTCGTGTAGCCTGGGTCGTTGCGCTTGAGTGAATCGAGCGATACAGTGTCGGGAACAGCCTCGATAAGACCAGTCTTGGCTGACGTGGCGATCACGTTGTAAGGTCTAATAGAATACAAAGCAGAATCGGAGTTAATAAGGAGGACAATCACTGAAATATTGGACATGAACGCACCTGAGAGATAGCGGAAGAGAGTATTCGCGGAAAATCCGGTCGCATTGGGCAATCAACTGCGCCGCGAACTGCTCCTGACGTAGATCGTCGTTGCTCTTGACGATGACAGAGAGAAGTCGCCATCCAGGATGGTCACCGAACGGAGATTCGCGACGAATACGCGCTTCCTTCTCACTCCAACGCTCTCGGAAAACGATCATGGGCTTCTCGTCGTCCGACGCTTCGTGTTCCTCTTCTTCTGCATCCTCCTCTACGGCATCAGTGTCAGTCGCTTCGAACTCTGGTTCGCCATCAGTAAGTCCGTCTTCCAAGTCGAACTTCTCCTTCCACGCTGTCGGGTCAGCAAAGTCGAGACTCACACTAAGATCTCGTCGTCTTTGTTGAACAGCGACGTCATCCTGGGTCTTGTTGTCGTCCTCAACCACAGGTGCTGCAGGTTCAGAAGCCTTAGTATCTTCAGCAGTTTCTGAAGTATCCGTGACTGCTGCAGCACTGTCCTCCTTTTCAGCAACTGGCTCGACCATGACAGTTGTAGGCTTCCGAGAAAACCACGACACGAACGAAGCTGGTTTTTCAGCGGGTAGCTGTACAGGAGAAGGCTCAGGCTCGAGGATATCCTCCTCGTCTGAAAAGAAGCCTCCGTTCGAGTCAGTATCCTCTCCGTCTGCTTCTTCAGCCGTAACGCTGTCAGAGACACCAGAGTCAATGCGTTCAAGTGAAGAGGCATAGGCCTCTGTTGCGTCAGCTGGGGTGTCATCGGAAGGGGGCGTTTCGGTCGAGTCCGAGTCTTCCCCATCTGCATCTTCGGCGTCCAGATCATACGAAGTACCCTCGCTACTCACCTCGAGCAACGATACCGATGCATCGGTGGCATAAAGAGCTGTAGTAGTGCCTTCAGTAGGCTTCTTAGCGAAGATAGAGGCGAAGATACCGACAGGAGCCGCAGCAGCCGCAACTTCGTTGGAGTCTTCGCTGCTGGATGCAGTTATCTCCTGCTCTGTTGTTCCCTCAGCTGAGATCTCAGTCTCAACTGGGTTGGAAGCAGGAGCTGACACATCTGTAGGCTTCTTAACAAACAACGAGGAGAAGAGTCCTGCAGGAGGAGCTGAGGCAGATGCAGCTTCCGGTTGTGAGGCTTCACTCTCGACGCGTTCACAGTCGGTCGGTGCATCACCCTGACGTTCTTGAGGCTGATCCTCCGTCTGGTTTGAGTGTGCTTCAACCACTGAAGCTGTAAGTGGCTTTCTGGAGAATAACGACGAGAAGATCCCTCCATTCGCAGGGACCGCAGCCACTGAACTCAGAGTTACGCTAGCTGTAGCCTCGTCAAATTCCTTTACGATATCGCTGGCTTCAGTCTGTTCCACTTCACCGTCATCCACGACACATCCAGTCGGCATTTGCTTGTCGCCAGAGATTTCCTTATCCTTCTTTGCATCAGCATCCTCTTCGCCATTGCCGGTGACCCGTGCTGGCTGCAAATATTGAGTATTTGAGTCACTGAACTCGTCGTGAGCTTCTTGCTGCGCCTTCTTCGAGAACCAGGACGAGTAGAAGCTGTCAAATTGTCCTCCAGAGCGAGCCGAGGCGCTGGACGAGTACTCTTTGATGCTGCGTCGACGAGGTCTCGGCGTGTTCCATTGGCCCAATCGTTCCTGTTGTTCCTCTCCAGTTCTCTGGAGATCTCCGTCCTCCTGAGAGCTCTTCCTGGCTTTCCGTTCACTTTCCTCCTTCTCATCATCCCCATCTTCACCATCCAGCGGTTCATCAGCCGTTCCTTCCTGCACTTGTGTTGTCGATGCGTCTGCCTTTTCTTCTACGATCTCTGGCAATGGGGACGACACACTGGGCGACGGAACAAAGCTCAGCTCACTCTCAGGCGACGTACAGCTGGACCTGGGCGAGTCCTCCACCGGTACCGTCAGCTCCGAGTCCGTCTTTTTAAAAGGAAGTCGCAACGAGAAGACTCGCGACTGATTGCGACTCGTCTTTGACCTCCTCCTCTTCCTCTGCTGCTTCTTGGAAGCTGCTGCAGAGGACGCAACCGAGTAGTCGAGCACTTCGACACACAAGAAGTACGGTACACGCTCCTTCGTGGAGAACGTGAAGCACTCGTCGATCTGGATCCCTTTGACGCGGTGGTACGAGTTCCCAATAGGCAGATAGATAACGTCGGAGGGCAACATCTGCTCCTCGATCTCCGCCAGACCTTTGCGTAGCTCGACGTTTCTCTGTGGCCGTGGCGTCGGGATGAGCTGGTCCGCCAGGTCTGTCAGCGCCTCCACGAACGTGGGGGTCTGTTTGAACAGTAAAATCTGCTGCGAGTTGCCTTCCTCGGCTCTCGCTTCATCTTGGAGCGAGTTCCTCTTACTTAGTAAATGCCCAGCGAACGTCTCGTCCGTGTCTAGAGTCGAGGAGTCCAGTTCGTTGTCCGTTGGGAAGATGATCGACCTCCTCTTCTCCAGATTGTGAGGCGTGGCTACTGACACCTCCTCTACACAGAGGCCTCTGTTCATCAGTAAGGCAGGCACTCCCGCCCGCATGCAGATTGCTGTAAGAAGGTTCGAGTTCTCCTGATCCTGAGACGATGTGACGCTCAAGTACTCGGACTGGTACTCCTTGGCGTCGTCGCAGAACGATCTCAAGAACCACGTTAGTCTGTGGGCAAAGGGCAACGAGTCGCCGCTTCTGGACATGAGGAAGCACTCGAGTTGATGCTGTTTCGCGTAGTTGCCATGTATCAGGAAGGTACAGAGTTGGGGGATGTAGAACTCAAACTCTGCAGCGTTCAGGTCGTAGCTGCGGTACAGCTCCTCCACCACGTTTTGGTGGGCGTAGAGCTTCAGTAACAAATGGAAAACGTCCTCCTGGGCCTCGTCCTGCTTCGGTTTGGTGCGCGCGAGTCGCTCCATTGTGCTGCGAAGTTTCTCGTCCCAGAAGATGCGGAATCTCTCCACATTCTCCAGTTCCTGTTGTGTCTTCGTGATGAACACTGAATCTCGCGGCGTGGAGTTCGCGGACGACGTAATTGTGGTGTCTGCGGTGCTCGATCGGTCCTTCGTCTTCCTCTGTGGCTTGCGGGGCTTGCGGAAAACCGAGTCCCGCACTTTGGAAGGCAGCGCGATGAGAGAGAAACGCGTCGCTGGCTCTGATGAGCTCGACGTGCGCCAATCGCTCTCGTCTGCGCCCCAGTCTTCGCTGTTATTATCGTCACTGCTCTCCTCGTTTATATGTAGGCGCTTGGGAGCCGCGGCCGCCGCCATGGGCGTCGAGTCCTCGGGCATTGTCGTCACCCCAATCGATAGCTTCGGCGCGTAGAATGTTGGGCACTGGGGGCGCAGTATTTGATCCCAGGTGCACCTTTGAGCGAGCGACGGGACGATTAGAGGGATCAGCACCGGTTATGCGCGCCTTTCTCCGATGACGTCAATAGTCAGTTTTAGTTTAACCCCCGGGTTTGGCAGTTCAAGCTAGAAGTGACAGACGAGTTTAGGCCGTACCGATTAATTGGTACCTTCTTTTGAAACGGCTGGGTTGCCTGGGACGGTTAAGGTACAAACAAGTAGGGCGGAAGATGGTTATTCGAGTCCTGCGTGGTGCCGGGTCTACAGAACTCCCACCGCAACCTTCACTTCAGCTTCAGGTAGACAAGCTGTGCGAGCTGTGCTAGAAGTTCTAAGTCTCGAACTGATCGGTGGACTGGTCTGCTCGGATCAGACTTGGGTCTTGTTTTTATTGCTTGGGGTGAAATTGTATATTCGAGGTGCTTCTGAGTGTATTTTCTTAATGAACAGAGGTGTCGTACATGTATTAGATGGGGCTCACTTGCACACGACAGCATAGTCAGCGTCCGCTCTACTTAAACTGTGCTCTTAAAGGTAAAAACTTCGAGTCAGCGCCGTCGTGGCGCCGCCACCGCTCCCGGGACGGCATCTTGGACGAAGCAGCGCTCAAAGCCGAGAGAATCTCTTACGCATTCGATTTTCTCAGCCTGCCGATCTTGGAGACATGCGCCGCGCCAACAATACGAGCGTGCTAAGCACGGTGCTTGTAGCGCTATATACCGGAACAAAGATTTTTAGTTCCTTTACTTTCGTGAATCGACTAGTTTCAATAGCCACGCTTGCTGCTGCGTCTCGCGGACGGGGGCTGATATCGCTCATCCGTTTCTTGGCTGTTGTAATCGACAGAACATGTCGCGAGTGAAACTCATCGGCTGAACTGGCGCCATGGAGTAACGATTCAGTGAATCATTCACGACTCGTGAGAAATTCCAGCTTGGTGTTTCTCCTTTTGACCAATGACAAATCTACTTTCCTTCTGATTGGGCAAAAGTGAAACACTTGTAAGTACCCCTAAATCGGTACAAAAGTCCATCCGATCACTTCACATCAGTGACGGTTGATGAATAGTGACACCTCCTGCGGTAAGAGTTGACTCCACGTGGCATCGAACTTGGACGCGAAGCGCCCAAGACCAGTCTTCACTTCCGCATTTCGCCGTCTGCCATCATGATTGACTCCGTCCAGAGCGGCTGCTATGTGGCGCTCATCTCGCTCATGCTGGCGTCCAACTTCGTGATCATCCCCGTGCCCGTACAGCTCATCACGTCGGCTTCGGCCATCGTGTACATCGGTTCGACGTTGTCGCTGAAGCTCAAGCATGCGCGCGAGGCCAGCGGCGAGAAGAATGAGGAGGTTATGAAGGCCGAGGACGCCTACATGTTCCCGTTGTTGGGCTCCGGCGTGTTGCTGGGTCTGTACATTCTCTTCAAGGTCTTCGACAAGGACCTCGTAAACTTGCTGCTCACCTCGTACTTCGCTCTCATCGGCGCCTACAGTCTGACGGAGGCCTTTAGTCCTTTGCTGTCCAGACTACTTTTCAAGGGTAGTCCCAAGGTCTACAAGCACAGCATGAAGATCCCGTTCTACGGCGTCTACAAGCTCGAGTTGTCCACGGCCTGGACGCTCACCTTTGTGTATGCTGCTGCCTTCGCCGCCGCCTGGTTCCAGACGAAGCACTACCTGCTCAACAACATCTTCGGCATCTCGCTGTCGATCAAGGGCATCGAGTCGCTGTCGCTTGGTAGCTTCAAGGTGGGCGCTATCCTGTTGTGTGGCTTGTTCTTCTACGACATCTTCTGGGTCTTCGGTACCGACGTTATGGTCACAGTGGCCACGTCATTTGATGCACCGATCAAGCTCATTTTCCCTCGTGAGTTCGCTACCGAGACGGAGAAGCAAAAGAACTCGATCCTCGGTCTGGGAGATATTGTTATCCCTGGCATCTTTGTGGCGCTGCTGCTCCGTTACGACGCGCACCGTGCCAACGCGACCGACAGCTCGCAGTCGTTCCCCAAGCCGTTCTTCCACGTGAACCTGCTCTTCTACATCCTTGGACTCGTGGCTACTGTGTCAGTCATGTTTTTCTTTAACGCTGCACAGCCGGCGCTGCTGTACCTTGTGCCGGCGTGCCTGGGCTCAGCTCTGGTCACGGCACTTGTCCGTGGCGAGTTTAAGGAACTTTTCGAGTACTCGGAAGAGGAAGAGGAGGAAGACAGTGATAGCCAGGACGACAAGAAGGACGGAGACAAGAAGACCGAAGACGAGAAGGAGGACAAGAAGTCCAAGTAACTGCGTTAGAGTCCACCCAACATTGGTAGAGCTATCGTAATCTCATCGTTTGCAATATTGCCAGGTTCATTGTATTTGTTGCCTGTTTGGTAGAAACGGGTCCACTTGTTGCGTCTATACGGTATTGTTGCTTGCAACTGGCAATCCCATTTAATAGACGAACACGTTAAACACGCCATTATTTTTCAGTTGGCTTTCCTTTGCCCCCAGATGTAGGACGGCCAACGCCACCATTCTTTTTATCACGGCATCGCCTACCGCTAGAGAAATCCCCTGCAACCTCAACAGGTGCGCAAAGGTGCGCAGCAAGCCGTGGCGGTCCAAATTGATCCCCATAATATTAAGTTACTAAAATACTTCTAGAAAAGCAGAAATGGCTACACTCCAGCTTACTGAGCCCAAGTCAATCTTTCATTGCATCAGGCTTTTTCCTATTTTTCCCGGCTGTTACTAAACCTGACCTGAGCTCACCCTGCTCACTACCAGATTTGCCTCGAACCGCCATCCTCCTTCTACTCTGGTGCGGTAAAGCACGATGGCCCCTCACTTCGGGTACGTTTTAACTCGATCTCTAACTAAAAGCAGCGGATTCCCCGTTGTTTTGCGCTCTTTGGACGAGGAATTACGATATTTTAACGTGTTGCTCCCTTTACAGACAGGAAGCGCGCACGGTGGTGATACAGCGCGCAGTGGAGACTACGCAGCAGCTTGAGACCTCAATGGAGGAGAATATTCTGCTGGGCGTGACGGCCAAGGACGTTTCTGTATCGCTGCAAGTTGATACGCCGGAACGTAACGTTGAGGATCATTCAGACAAAGCCCTGGCTGCGCCGTCGTCCCCCACGCGCCACCGCAAGCGTGACGTGCTGCGTCAGGTGTCGATGCGTCTATATCTCAAGGGAAAACACGTGGCTGACGACGTACTGCGCAATGTGGCGCCTTCCCGACTAGCCGATGCCGAGGAGGTTTGCAGCGACGCGCAGTCAAGTCTTGATCATGAGATCCGCAACTCCAGCAAGACACGAAAGCATCTCTGGCTGCCCAAGACCCAAGACGACTCGGTACTACTGGACTCGTCCAGCTGTCACAAGAAGGATCAGTCGGCAGTGCAAGAGTTCTTTGTGTCTCGTGTGACCGACCCGACGTCGTACTTCTATCGTTTCCATTACGACGACTACCATCACTTGGCTCCTCGGAAAGCAGAGGTGCAACTCGTGGACATCAAGTGGCTGAAGCCTCACGAACAAATCGTGAGCTGGGAACGAGTCAATGGACTCAGAAAGGCGACGCTGTCATGGGACGCATACACGGAGCCATTGCTGGTGGATATCAAGACTGGAGCGATCCTTGATGGCCACCATCGCTACAATGTGGCTCTACAGCTGCGTCTTAAGCAGGTGCCAGCCGTATTGGTGGACTATTTGGGGGACAAAACGATCCACGTGGACGTCTGGCCAGGCTGTGGACGATCGCACTTAACAAAAGCGGAGGTTATTGCGATGTCCTTATCGCCAGATGTATTCCCTCCCAAGACGAGTCGTCATAGATTCACAGAGAGCTTGCCGCCCATTTCTATTCCGCTGTCTGTTCTGCGTCAAGCACCTCTTCCTATGGAGGAGATTACGAACCCGACAATAGTGTCGAGTGAGGAGATGCAGACGGAGACGCTGCGCTCGTTGGAACGCAAGCCCAGTCTGCAGCAAGTGTCGATTCTCTTGATCTGTGGCGCTCAGAATCTGGCTGCGTCGGTGACCAAAAGTCTGTTCCGAGGTCGACTGCGCTCCGTCGACCGTGTCCGCGATTCAACGCAGATGGATCTCATCAGACGACCATCCTACGACCCGAAAGATTTCTTTAACGCTATCCGAGAGAACGACCCGACGTCGAGTTTTTGTCGACAGAAGGCCGCGACGCTGGAAGATCTTCTGTCGGACGATAAAGAACGTCGTCAGAAGTTCTTCTTGACGCGTATTGCCGACCCGACGTCGTATTTCTACAAGTATCACTTCGATGCTCGTCCACAGCGACAACCGAAGAAACTGGTCGTGCATTTGGCTTCGCTGCGCTGGCTGAAGGCTCACGAGCATGTTGTGAGTTGGGACCGTGTCGATGGACTTCGTCGCGCTACTGTGCGTTGGAATGCGTATCTGGAACCTTTGCTTGTGGACAGAGCCACGGGAGCGATCCTGGACGGTCATCACCGGTATAATGTGGGCGTTCAACTCGAGATACAGTGCGTACCCGTTGTGCTGGTGGATTACTTACAGGACGAAACGATTACCGTGGATGTCTGGCCAAAGTGCGGTCGTGATTCGCTTACGAAGCAGGAGGTGATCGATATGTCGCTTTCGGACGATCTGTTCCCACCTAAGACGAGTCGCCACTCGTTCTCGGACGACTTGCCACCCATTTCGGTTCCTCTCGAGCGTCTTCGACAGCCGTTGGATTATAACTTCGTTCTGCTGTAGGATTAAAGAAGTGAAGGCGGCACGGAAGAGGACGAGAAATGTATGTTGCTAATCAGTACCGCGTGCATTTTGCTTGAATTTGAGTTGCTAAGATTGACCTCGAGCTCTTTTCACTACCAAAATCGGCAAATTTGGTCGGACCTCACTTTTGGAAAAATATTGCCAGCGTTGCTACGATTTCTCAAAATATGTTTTGACAAGCGCAACTAACAAGCCAAGCAAGGATACTGAAGTACTTCGAAATAGCTTCAAGGAAGTCAGTTTTCGACCAAAATCTGGGTTGACGAGTTCAGTTAGTGTGTGTGTTGGAGGGTGGGGTCGACGAACTTTTCTATCCTTTCAAAAGTGACAAGTTTAAAACTAACTTAGCGCCCATTTTCCATTAATTGAGAGTCGCACGGTAACACGTGCCTACATGAACCTGCAGACAGATAGTGCATCCTACACCTCCAGCACATACATGGGAATCTTGGTCAGCATTGTTTCAATCGCGTTCTGGCGCTCATCAAAACTCTTGAGGATCGTTGAGTAGTGAGTCAATACACCACCACTGAAGAAGTCCCGTTGGTGCGCGCTTGGTGCATCAATGGCTGTTCGTAAATCTTTCACTGTCTCCACGTTAATCGCCTTCAACTGGCTCGTGTCAACACCAGGAATGATATCCACATTCTCGGCATTTAATAGTAAGTCCCACTGGATTCTTTTCTTGAACTTCCACTTGTTTTCATCAAGCGCCAGTGCGACAAGAATTAGCCGAACACTCCTTGGATTCTTCAGCGCTTTCTTCAACAGCTCGAGCTTTTCGAGCACTGTCACTAAAGCCTGTCCCGGAACTGGATTTAGATACACCTCTTTCGTTAGAAACACAAGAAGGCGCTTCTTCCACAGCGATAATTCCTTCGGATCAAAAAGGAAAAACTCCTAACTTTTCTGACATCGAAAGGTTTTGGAATGTCCACTGCCACCGAGGGTAATAGTGTGAATTTTACCGCCTCGCCTCACTAAGTCGTAAGTCTTCAATAAAAACGAAAAGCCACGATCCATAGCCGCTTGCGGGTTGCAACGAAGTTGTTTATAGCCGTTGGCGAACTCTTCGAAGCTCACCACCACGTTGATCTTCTCCAGCACCCGACGTCTCACATACTGGGAAGCCATACGAACATCAAACTTCCGTGGGTCATCTTGACGTGGAACCAAATGGCTCAAACAGTGATATGTATCGTCTCCCGTCACTATTCTTACCAACCGCTGAGGTTCGAGTGTGCCCATCTCCTCAATAGTCTGCTGAACCACTTTCAGCCGATTCTCCACAAAACTTTCACGTTGAGAGAGACACTCGCGGGCCGCAAGCCCAAACAATCCAATTCGCTTGTCAATCACAGCTCGAGTTATCACCGAGTCGATCCGGAGAGATGTGGCAGCAGCAAAAAGTTCGTCTTCGTCCCACAACGGCATGTACAACGTCGTCTGAGAGAAATCCTTATAAAGTGAGTCGAGCCATCGTTCATTCGGACTCGTGAAGCACACCATCTTTTGCTGTTGTGGAGATATGCGCGGAGGGCCATCATACAGGTGAATGATTCGTGGTCCTTTTCGTTCTGACAGATTCTCCAGCCAAAATGAATTTGAAAGTGACTCTGGTTTTGGAACCGACTTACCGTTTTCAAACACAGCGATATCTTGTAGATCGGAGTACTTCGTGAAGGACGCTGTGATAATGGTGAAACCTCTGTACTGCTCTTCACGTGTGAAGTGATTGAAAAAATATCCGTAGAAAACAGATTTTCCCGTTCCTGTGCATTCCAAGATCCGAGGTTAGTCTTTGGGCCCCCATACTCGCACGAAACGACCTTACAATCTTACCTGGCGACCCAGTGACAGTGACGCAGCGCTTGTCGCGCGTGAACAGCTCGTGGAGAACCAAACCGTAGTATCTTGGGTAGCACTCGCGTACGTAAAACTCCGATCTTTCACATGGATACTGCATGGGTAGATCAGGAGGTAACTCTTCTGTTAGCCCGGGAGCTGCGCCGCCACTGGGAGATGCCGCCTCGGCCATCGCCTCTACAAACCCGGCGTTGATGTCCATAGTAATTATTCCAACTGTCTGCAGAAAGCTCGAACGAAAAAATATGGCAAACTTTTTTAAAAGCTCTTAAAAGAAAGAACCCTATAAATTAGCCTTAAATTTAATATGAAAAACTAGGGCTGGGAGCTAAAAGGGCGCAAAATTCGCCCTTTTACATGCCCCATTTCCACCTTGTTTTGGTAATGGTGCTAAAGGGCGAAAAATGCGCCCTCGCACCGCGAAAGGGTTAATAAGTTACAATGACTAAAATAATAGCTTCAAATGTTTTGTTGTAGAGATATTAAGAACATATCTGAGTGTGAGGTAACTGATTGAGCTGTCAGATAGTAGTACACGTACAACAGAAGCTGGCCGTAAGAACAACGCTGTGCCAATAAACGTAACTCTGCCAACCGCGTTTCATAACTACCAATCGCAGCAGTGAATAGAAAGAGGTTGGGGGTAATTTTGGATCTTCTGCTCATCGCACAGTATTTATTGTTCCAACGACCGTAATCGGCCCTTTCTACGCGGTCGTGCCATGGATCTAGCGGTCAATCGCCTGACAGCCAGTCACCAGAACATACAAAAGGTAAGACGAATGCGCCTCTCCGACCTCCCTTTTTGCTATAGCGTACTCAAGACTAATGCGCACTACCTTCACAGACACTGAAGATAAGCTGCTGGTGCAGATCGCCTTCCAATTCGAAAGGGAGGGATTACGAATCACATGGGCCTACGTGGCCCGCCGAATGCAGACCAAGCGGCCGATCCGTCAACTGCGGCTTCGGCTGGCTAGCCTCAAGCGTACCTACGGAATTGCGGTTAGTGGCTTTCCGCCAAGTTTTTTCCGCGGCATGCCACCAAGGCGTCTTCTCGGAGCGCTGAGGTCACCACCACCACCACTCCTCATTTTGCAGCAAGTCGTACAACCAGCATGCGGACCTTCTGCTACTCTGTCAAATTCTCTACTTCTCGGCGGCGATCGCCGCATGCCAGGTTTGTCTGTTTTGGAGATATTTGCATGCCGTTCGTGAGTCTGATGACGATAAGTTGGTGGCGATACGCATGGGAGCGCCGCCGGAGACAGTCAGGTGGCAGACGACGTGGATCAGGGAAACCGAGACTGCAGAGGTGAGGATACAGGACCCGCTGGCGGCTATATTGCGCGAGATTGCGGGGGATGCCGTCAACCACAGGTGACTCAGGCGAAAAGCGCTTCAGGTGAGTCTCGGATTGTTTGTTCCACAATTGACGTCGGCAAATACTAACCTGTGTGTGTAGGTGCTGGTGTTGGGGGCTGTGGAGATAATCTGGACCCAGCTGATGCTGCCACAGCCGTGGATATCATTTTCGGAAGTATAAGCGCTCACGACGTTCGCCAGCCCGCTGGACGCACATATGACAATGCTGGTGAGGTGCCACCGTCCGGTGTCACACTTCTACTTGCTGCCGTCGGACCGCTCGGCGAAGCTGACGTCTTCCTTGACGTTGGAGCTGGTGTTGGCAACGTGCTTGCGCAGGTAGCACTTACAACGAAAGTCAGAGCGTGCATCGGGATCGAGGTGCGAAGGGACCTCGTCTCCCTTGGACGACGTTGCATGCAGCAGCTACGCAAGCCGTACCCACGGCTCAGTAAGGTGCTGCTCAAGCAAGTCGATGTAAGAGATGTTTCGATGTCACGGCATTCTCCCATTTGCGAAGCCACCATTGTCTTTGCTAATATCTTTCTATTTGAAGAAGATGCTAAGCTGATTGTTTCACGAGAGCTAAGCGCAATGCCAGAGGCACGGGTGATAGTTTCAACGTCGCTCTTCTGCCCTAGACATCGATCATCGTGCTCGGAGCCGTACTGCAAAAGTTGGAACCTGGATCATCAACTAGAAGTACAATGTAGCTGGAAGACTACACCTCATCCCATTTACATATACCGTAAGAAACTTTGATCCCTTCTGTTGTCTCATACTTGCTTCTAACCAGAGTCTTTTCGATGCTCATGAGTGCCGCTACAAAGAGCAAATGCAGCTTCGCCGCCCAGTCTGCGTGCGGCAGCAGCAACCCGGCTAGGTGCAGTATCATCTCGTCCGAGTGTAGCAGTAGCCCATACGTCATGCGAGTCACCACCGATTCAGTGAGCACCGCCGGGTTCATGAGCGCTGCCGTCACTGACTGTGCCAGCTGCACCGCCAAGTCCGCGGTTGCCATCACCAAGTCTGTGATCATCACCACCTCCATGTCTTCGCGCGTCGTCGCCGACAAGTCGGCGAGCGCCACGGCTACCAACTGTATGTGCTGCACCACCAAGCTCGCGCCAATCTTTGCTGTCTGTGCAAGCAGAAGCACTTAGCCTGCCACCGACTCCGCTAGGGTCACCAAGGCTACGTGCGCCGCCGACACCGGTTGGACCAGCGGCACCACCAAGTCCGGGCCCCCCGTCTCCAAGTCTGCGCGCGTCGTCACGGCCAAGTCCGCGCTCGTCGTCTATGGCAAGTCTGGGAGCTCCGCCGCCGCCATCAAGTTCGTGTGTGCCTTCGCCGCCTGTGAGAGCGGCACCACTGCCACGTCGGCGGTCTTCACCACCACGTTCACTAGTGCATCCAATTTCGCGAACATCACGACGGGCACCACTAAGTCTGCTAGCCAACACACTTTCAGGCCTATCGTCCAAACGGCTGTCGCCGTCTGGTCCAGTCGAAAGATTGCAACTGCCAAACGCAACCAACCCTGGCGGAGCATTACCGCTAACCCCGAAAGCAGCAAGACCCTGTGTATCATCATCTCCTTCGTTGTCAAGTGCGTGAGCGATGGCACCTCCGAGATCTGTCCCGTACTCAATTTGGCGAGCGGTAGCAAACCGCCCTACTGCTTGAGACCTGGGCTCGTGCGCATCCTTCGACTTGGCGAGTTTGGAGTGTCGCCTGACATTTCCCTT